AAAAAAGACAGAGAGAGAGGGAGGCGGGGGGCCTACCAGAGAGACACAGAGAGAGAGAGAGAGAGAGAGACTGAATGGCAAAATTGAAACATGGGTCAAATTGCGGCCGCGACCTTTTTCGCAGTTGGAATGAATTTTTAAAATTTATTTAGCATTTTTCCAGGAAAGATCACAACAAAATCTACGAGTACCTAGGCTACCAGAGTGGCCCGGAGTCACTTGCCCGGCCGGGCCAAAAATAATAAAATTAATAAAATTATTTTTAAATTTTATTTTTTATTCTAAATTTGGTGAAGAATTTCCATGTGACCCTGGGGCAAAAGTTGTTCAGTTTATTCTTCTGCATAACATAGTTTGTTTCCGGATTTTTTGGATTTTTTTTTTTTGTTGTTGTTTTTTGTTGGGACCTTCACTTGTTCTTGCACGGGCTGTCCACCCTGGACCCGGGCAGCCCGGCTGGTAGCCTAGACGAGTACTCCAATTTTCAGGTTTTTTCACGCATTCTTCTGAGAGTGAAAAGTCACTGAATTTGGAGTACTTCTTAAGTTGGCCCACACATGGCTGAGTGGCAAAAATGGATTATTTCTCGGTCTAAATGATTTTTTTTAAATGTTCTAATATTTTTCCTAGAAAGAACACGACCTCATCTATGGATTCTCAAAATTTCAGATTTGTCTGCGGATTCCTCTGAGCACAGAAAATCGTCAAAGTTGCCTCTTTGAAAAACGCCTGTTTCGTTGCGCCTGACCTCCCTGTTTTGAGAAGACGGGCCTCAACGCCTGGGCCTGAGGGCCCTTTTGCAGTTCACATGCCCTCACTTCGTTTTGGGATCCGCTTCCACCCGTGGACCCGTCCAACGCCTCCCACTTCTTTTTGGGGTCCACTTCCACCCGAGGACGGGTCCTTCCTTTTTCCAAAACTCCCCGTTCTACCAGAGCTAGCTGTAGGTAGTCCGCAATTTTGGCAAGGACCGGTTCCCCAATTGTTTTTGCCCCCTAAGAACCCACTTTGCGTCCTGGTCGCCCGCCACCAAAAGTGTGACACCTTGACACAAACGCCGAACCCCAGTAGACCGCAGCCTTAGGGCTGCGAATTAGTGGATGGTTGTTTTTTGATTGGTCGGCAGACCGCCGACCGGTCGGCCCTACTGGTCGGCTGCAATACGGTCGGCGGTCGGGGTCGGTGGTCGGCAGGGATGCAACCATGCTTCTGTAAATGTAATTACGAGTTGGGTGAAAAGAAACTACTGTGTAAATGTGATCATGAGTAGGGTGAAAAGAAACTACCTTGCATAAAGTTGAGAGTTGAAAGTTTGAAGTTTAATCAACCGCCAAATTGAAATTGAAATTGAAATCTCATAGTTTCTGCTGGAAGTGGGCGCAAATAAATTACCTTGTGTAAATATAATTACGAGTTAAAAAAAGAAATTACCTTGTGTAAAATTGTAAATGTAATTATGAGTCGGGCGATAAGAAATTACCTTGTGAGGCTTGTGTAAATGTAATTACGAGTCGGGCAAAAAGAAATTACCTTGTGTAAAGTTGAAGTTGAAAGTTGAAAGTTGAACGTTTAAAGTTCGAAGTTTAATTCCGCCAAATTAGAATTGAAACCCTTTAATCACAGCTGGAAGTTGTGGGCGTAAAGAAAAAATACCGTGTGTAAATGTAATTATGAGTTGGATGAAAAGAAATTACCTTGTGTAAACGTAATTATTAATTACCATACTTGCAACCGCACGAGTGCGGAGTTCCGTGCGGGGGGTGCCTGTGCGGAATCGTGCAGGTTTTTTATTTTTATTATTATGATTTTCTCTCTTTTTGGGAGGGGGAACGGGGGGCCGTATGACAGGAAGATGGGGATATGGCAAGGAGAGGGGGATATGGAGAGGAGGAGGATGTGGAGGAGGAGGACAACGAGGATAGCGAGGACGACGAGGAGTCGTCGAGATGGGGGAGGAGAAGAGATGGACAGAGGGAAAAGAGGAAGGGCAGGAGGAGGAGGACGAGTGGGAGGAGGAGGAGACAAGGACGGTGAGGAAGGGGAGGACACGAGGAAGGGAAGGAGACGAGAAGGCATGGAAGATGAGGAAGTACGAGGAGGAGGAGGAGACAAGGAGGATGAGGAAGGATAGGAGGAGGAGGACGAACAGGCGGAGGAGGAGGAGACGAAAAGGAGAAGGGAGGAGGAGACATGGAGGATGAGGAAGGGGAGGAGGAGCAAGGTGAGGCAGTACTCCTGTACTTTTTTTTTTCATCTCGTTTATAATTTTGGCAAGGGGGCCTCAAACGCACCGTTTCAAACCCGGCCTTTTTTTTTTTTTCCTGAGGGGGATGACGGGTCGTTCTCCGCACACGTCGTGAGCCGCACAGGATTGGTTGGGCGCGTGCACGACGTGCGCTTGCAAGTATGTTATTTAGTAATTACAAGTCGGGCGAAAAAAAATTACCTTGTGACACGCTTGTGTAAAATTTAAACATCAAACCACCGCCAAAATTGAAATGAAATTGAATTCCAATAACTGCTGCTGAAAAATGTGGGGGTACGGGAGCTGGGCAAAGGAAATTGCTTTCTGTAAAAGTCATGATGGCTGCCCCTTGGGTTATATATATGTATTATGTATATTTCTTACTGCCGAGTGTGCTCAACAAGCGCATATGTCAGAGCATATACAAACCAGGACTTTCCTCAATGGTGTATGCGACCTGCAATTGCGGACTCTTATTTTGATGTATCTGACCTCAATTGCGTGTAGAGATCAGTCAAAGAAGTCCTAATGTGAATATGCACTCAGGGTGATCTGTTGCTGTAAATAGCTCATGACTTTTGTGTATGCCTACTAGCCTATTCACACTTCCTGCAAACTTTTCTGTTCTTTGAACGTCTGTCTACCTTAGAGGCTTAGAATGATTTTTTTTTCAGAGCAGAAGTCCTAAAAAAAAAAAGAAAAAGAAAGAAAACAACCGTACCCCACTTGCTGCCGCAGTCCAGCCACACAGATTTTATCATTTTAATTTTGGCTCATCACACAGTTCTCGGCAAACGGCGTTGCCACAGATCCCGTGAATGAAAAAAGAAGAAAGTGCATCTGCCCACAGAAGGTGGCAAGGTACATCCATTACTGTTCATAGTACGAGATGAATCTTTCCAGTGTCTGTGGGAAGGTGCACTCTTTTTTTTGTTGGTTTCCTGAGCCGTGTAGCAAGGCCCAAGTATTGAGCATGAATGCGGAAGCCATGACAGGCATAGGCAGTCCTTCCCCTCGGTGTAAGGCCCTGCAGCAGGTGCGTGCCCGCCCTAGGTGAAGGCGGGCCCCCTGAATCTCAATGTGCCCTGAACTCATCAATTTTTGCAAATCTTGGTGGGTGCCAGACAGTTTCCACGCGCCAGTTGGTTACACATCCGCTTTGCTTGTGAGAATCGGAAATATTTGTGAGCTTTCCAGGCTCTTCCAGCAACGTGGTCGAAGCAGGGAACACCGCACGTTTGTGCCTGGGTGGTTGGGCATGCCTAAGCAACTCGGTCCCAGGCCACTGTCTGCACGGGCCTGGGCGCAGACACTTTGGCCCAACATGAAGCTAGAGGGCACACTCGTGTTGAAGCCCAGGTGCAAACTGGGCAAGCACTTTCCATATAGGAAAGAGATCGCGAGGCAAATGCCATGCTGGCACTTGGTAGAGCGGGCGGCAGCACTGCTGGAGCGAGCACTCACGTGCTGCTGCTAGTGCCAGTGCAGAAGCGTGCCTGCGTGCGGTACCACGTGGGAGAAGGGCGCTACTGAGGGCAGTGCTATAGCCCAGCCCATGTAGCTGGGCTTGGGCTTGGACGGCCAGCGAGAGGTGGTGGTGGTCTTCGTGTATGAGGGGGAAGACGTGGGTGAAGAAGACAAGGGAGAGACAGAGAGAGAGATGAGGATGAGGATGTGCGGGCACGTACCTGGTCTTGGCGATGGTCTACAGGGTCGACATCTTCATGTACTTCGGTTGTTGCTGCTGACGTCAACAGGATGCATTGTCAATTCGTAGGCTGGTAGTAGCTGTGTGGTCGTAGTCTGGGCGCTGAGCGCCAAGTAGGAGGAAGGACTCTGGATAAATATGTTGGTGGAGGCGAGAGTATGCTCTCGTTGACATTCAGATTTGGTGCTTTGGTTCTCCGTTGGTGGAATATCAGTGCATTTCTGCTTTCTGGTCAGCGTTGGACTTTCTGGCTTTCAATGTGATTTTGCATTCTGGAATTATTCTGTCATTTCGCTATCGGTCATTTTCCTTGCACAAATGCACACATTGAATCTGCAAGAGTACTGTATGCCACTTCCTGATGTCAGGGCGCGGCACGCAATCCGCCCTGCGACACCAGCATTTTCCGCCCAGTAGGCCCAACCCGCACTTTTCAGCGTGTTCAGTGCCACTCCAGAATGAAGTAGCTGGGAAACATACTTTTTTTAAGTTTTTTTTTTTTTTTTTCCGACCATTTCTCGATTTATGTGTGTCGACCATTTCTTGATTTATGAGTGTCATCCTTCCAGAGGGGCCATGTAAATCTACGCTGTATCGGTCCAATTTTAATGGATGTCCTGATGGATGACTGGTGGATTTTAAACCAGACTTACTTGCTATTAATGATCCATAGACTGGACACCAAACAAACCAAGAGAGAGGGCGGAGGGAAGGGGGGGAACGCGGAGGGGAGGGAGAGAAGGAGATTCTGAAATGGGAACTTGGATAAGGAAGGTCAACCTGATGAAGGTTACTTTTGGGAAGGCTTGGGCATGTAGGAATGAAAGCCAATGAATCAGATGATGCTGGCCATGCCAAATGACTGGAAGTCACTCTTTAAACATATTTACAGATAGTCTCTGATGAGTTTAGGATGATGATTACATTGCAGTTGATTGGCTTTCAGAGACTTTTTCAGAGACTTGAAGAAGAAATTGAGGCAACTGCGAAATTGGTACTGAATCTGGTAGTCTCTTGGGAGTTGCTGTACTCTATTTAGATACACACCTTAGCGCTTTGTACGGGATCATGTCAGAGGCTGCATGATTTTCCACAAGTATTTTGAGCTGTCTTGCACTGACTCTTAGGTCTCCGTCGCTAAAATCATAAGGCACATTCCATCCCAAAGGACCAAACCTTCGTCTTTCCTGCAACAAACAAACACCCGTACAAGAAAGCAAACAAACGAACAAACACCCAAATGAAAGGATTCACACCTCTCAGAGTCTGTTGCATACTTTAACTGTGCAGACCAGAACAAGAACCGACCTCTCAATACAAAGTACAAGATAGCGTAGCGGAAGACTTAGATACCAATGATCCGAACAATCAATATTGCAATGCAGCCCAGAACATACATCATCATCATCATCTCCATGGTGTGAAGGGGTCTGGCGCTCACACAGGAAGAATGCGCCAGCCCCAAACCATTCACAGACGAAGAAGAGGGGGGTTAGACGAAGAAGAGGGGAAGATGGGAATGTCGTCAACACCAAGTCTTCGGCACAGGCCCAAATAGTCCCTCGTCAAAATGTCTGAATCCCAATGTCGTGTCTGGATCCAATGTCGTCAAGTCTCAAGTCACAACTCTCTCTCTGTGTAGTAGTCCGCTGATACTGAGAAGTCAGGTGGGGAGAGGGGAAGAGGAGATGGTGGACTTAGAAGAGGAAGAAGAAGAACTCTCTCTATCTCTCTATCTCAGTCCGTACTAACCTGTGAAGTTGGCCCCTTGATGCAGGCACCTCGAAGATGGAGCTGGAGCTATGGCGCCACAGGTAAGTCTCGCTGGCCTCCGCAAACCACCTCTCTCCCACACTACTACTACCACCTACTAGCGCCCAGCGCTGAAGACTACTGCTATCGCTACTAGCGCCCAGCACTGAAGACTACTGCTAGCGCTAAGCTAATCCTGGCAGCGCTCCTCCTGAGTGCTGTGGCCGAATCCTGAAGACTACTACTGCCTCTGTCCAACTACCTTGCCTGTAGGGCGGGCCAGTCTTATATAGTGCTGGTCCGTCCAGGAGGCTGCTCTTGCCAATGCCCAAACGTGCTAGGCCCTGAGGAAGCTTCCGGGAAGTTTTCAGGTAGCTTCTGGCTAAAGCCTGAGGAAGCTTCCGGAAGTTTCCCAGGAAGCTTCTGGCTAAAGCCTGAGGGCTATAGGCCCTTGTTTTCAGGCTGTCAGGCTGAAATGACACGGGGCCTGTAGGCCCTGGTTTTCAGGCTGTCATGCTGAAACAGACACAGGGCCTGTAGGCCCTGGTTTTCAGGCCGTCAGGCTGAAACAGCC